CTCTCAGGTGAGACGTATCCTATTCCCACACAATGCCTCCATCAAACATTAAGATTCTACACTGTAACATCATATAAGTCTTAGAAAATGTAACCTTTATTCACTACAGCCAGAAACTCTCTGCTTCTCAAGGCCTTACACAAATGCAGAGCGATCTGGTCATCCACACCCACCTCTAGCTCTAGGAAAAGCCACATTTCTGCCCCCTGAGAGTACACATGCTGTCAAAAGCACAGCAGACCACAGCACATGTGCTGCATGTTCATAAATACCCATTAGTACCTGATGACATGTGCAGCTCTCTGGTTCTGATTTCCCTCCCAGTGCTAAGCGCATCATTTCAAACAGATCTGAGCAAGCAGGGCTTCCTAGGTCTGCTTTCCTGCTCCCTCGAACGCTAGACACATGTTCTGTTGCTACCTCAGAGGGATGTAACTCTGTTAAACATGCAACCCCTCACTCCGGGGGGAATTTCCAGGAATGCTGCACACTGCACTCCCAACCATGCCAGACTCCACCCCTCAGCTCCCCGACAGGCATGAACAAGCATTAAATCCCTTTTTGATTCTATTAAAAATTACATTCATTTTGCTTACGCAAGACATCAGTACAGAAACCAGGTCACGTATGCTAGGCAATTCATCCCACCCACTCTTCACCCCTGTCCTGTCCCTCTAATGCTGGTAACTTTTTAGCTATCTAGACCCCAAGACCTGTGATCCCCTTGTAGCCTTCCCAGCAGCAAGCCACTGCACAAACCAATAAATACAAAATGTATTCCTGAGGAAATGTTTTTCTGTAAGCATGCAAAAGAGTATAAAAGGAAAGCTGGAAAATTGTGTAAGTCTGTATAGTTAATAAGATTAAAAAGCACGTCAGAGGGATTTTTAAATATTTTTAATATCAGCCTGCAATTTAGAGATGCTCTGTAATCCATGCTACCATGGAAACCATGCAATCAACAACTGGTTGCTAACTTATTTGATATCAATAGCTTGACACAAGCAAAGGTCCTCAAGGACCTAGTGGTTAATTAGGAGTTATTAAAATTAAACAGCAAAAAAAGCACTGGATAACGTATTATCTGTGCTAAAACGTGGCCTAGAGATTATAGAAGCCCACAGGAAAGAAAAGAAGGAAGCACTGAGCCAGATAAGGGCTTCCATGCTGCAAATTTTTTGAGAGTGAGCCCAGAAGTCAGACAGCAAATAAAGGCAGAAATGAAGTACCAATGAAACTGCCACAGAATCCAACACAGCGTGTTCTTCTCCAAGAATTTTAGACATCAGACATAACATCTGACAGTATTATAATCTTCTCTAATACCACCTAACCAAATCCTTACTTTTAAGCACCCAAATCCATGCTTGCTGTTCCACCCAGGTCAGTGCTGTTTTTCAAAGCCATCCACTTCTCCTTTGCACATCATTTAAGTACTTATCTTAATGTTTGAAAAACCCAAGCAGGGTTATCTAAGGTATGCTTTAGCATAAAATAGAAGAATATGGCCAAGACCAGGATCTAATCAGCTCTTTCTCTTTCTAGTTTTAAGTTCTCTTGGATCAGAATAATCTGGCTATGACTATAGAACAGATGTTTCTATCCCTTCAATAATTCATTAAAATCGCTTCTCCATAACCAAGAATGATCTTCTAAAACCATAACTATTTCTTATTTTATGCTTTTTAGATCAGACATACTTAGGGGAAAACACATGCCTTTTCTCATTTAAATACAGATTAGCCTCTTCCCGTTATGAAAGCAACAGGCACAAGCTCAGAAAGAAGTTAACTAATAAAAAAAAAATCTTTGACACTTTTAGAACTGCCACCTAGAGGGCTTTTCTAAAAATGTTTTAAAATAAAAGATAGCTCCTTAGCTTAGAAAGTTCAGTTTCTAAATGCTTTGTTGGGTATTTTTTATGCTCTCCTTTAGCTAGACTTGAGAATTCACAAATTCTGACTATGACAGAACCCCCTTAAATCTGTACAACACATGCAATAAACTAGGCTTTGTTTTTCTAACATCTGGAATTTTAAGTAGGCCATTGCAGAGAACTGCAAATAAAGCATTCCCAAACGCTAGGTCTCCTCCAACAAAGGAGAAGAAAGTCTCCGTAAGTTAAGATTCAAGTAAAAATGATAAAAATGGGAATTTGGAAATGGGGTCAAAAAAAGTCCAGAAGAAACAGACCCAGGGTAGAACCCAAGTAACAACACTGCCCTGTAAAGAAATCAGGAAAATGTTACAAGGAATTTGAGCAAATAAATAGCTAAAATACCCCAAACCTCACTGTAGGCCTTCTTTTTCTTTCTTTTTCCCCACACTGGTAAACAGCCATTTTCACTACTTCCCGGGGACTGATGGCAGCACAGGTCATGCACACCAGAAAAAAAAGCCAACACAAGCAGTTTGTCAGCTGAGTATTACTGACACACACAAAAAAGCAAGCATGGAGGATGTCCCTGGCTAGAATCAGCCAATATTGACAGAGACAGATTTTCCACTGTGCTTTTGTGATGACAACAGAGCAAACAAGTACCTAAAGCTGGCTAAAAAAATGGTGTGCAGGCATTATCCACCTCTGAAGTGCCACCTCTGAAGTCAGTCTCTGCAGAACACAAGGTTGATTCCTAAGCAGGAATTTGTGTGAAAAGGAAAATTCTTACATTTGTACAGAGTCTAAAAATAAAAGAATAATTTATTTTTAAACAAGTAAAATCTGTACAGGTATTTACTAAGAACTATTGTTTAATCAACATGAAGGACTAAAGTATTTTTTCCCCTGTATCTAGCTAATATTATCCAAGATAAGTCTACGAAAAGCAGTCACTTCACTGAAGGTAACCACTGTAAAGAAAGGAGGAATAAAGCAACCACTTCTTAGATTTTTAAAAGCACAGAGTCCAATACATATATATACTCAAGAAGTAATGAATCAGCACATACAAGCACTGCATTTCCCACTACAAGTTATAGTTTTTCAAACTATTAGCATGCCATACAGTTTTACTCTGAGTGAGCCAGGAACAGTTAATAAAGAACACACATTGTCTCTGCATGTAATAAATAACATGGAAACTCAAATGAAAACAAACCATGGTAAATAGGAAGTACAAATTACTTTTGTTAATAGGTGTACACCTATCACACAAGACATCTGCTCTGAAAAGTGTGCCATGTGTTAGCAGAGTGTAACAGAAATATAACATTCTCTCAAGCAAACAAAAAAGAATATGTTAAGAGGACAGCAGAAAGTGTCCCAGTGTTATACTTAAAAAAAAAAATTATGTTTCCTGAAAACATTTTATGGCTATAACTTGAAGAACCTTTTGAGATATCCTGTTCAAACAAGAACACAAATATTTACTTGCATATCCAGTCATTACTAGTTTATAGATGAAAAAAACAGTTTTATAATGTGAGCCACATGGTCTCACATTTGGCAGTTTCACTTACATTGCAGAAACAGCCCTCTCACTTTGTTACCAACTGGATTTCAGCAGAAACACACACAACAGTGAAACTCCAATTATCAAATATTTTATTTAGTCAAATAAAGAAGTAAATGGCTGTGACTGATTTTCTCTTTCTAAATGTAGGTATACTGATGTCAGAATTACAGGTAAAGTTCCAGGGGGAGGAGCCAGGGCAAGTAACCTTGTGCAGAACACATTCCACATTTAGTCCTCTAGAAATGTACCCTTCTGTATTACAATCTACTGCTTCACAATATATTTGCTATTATTGTAAGGCTTGTTTGCAAAAGCCTTAGAGGAGAATGGTCACATCTGACCAACTCTGAAACATCTCAGCAATCCAATAGTTACTGTGTAAACTGAAAAGGAGTTACCACTAATTTATTAAGCATTTGATAACTTAACATAAAAAATACTGCTATTTTATGGTGTCCAGGTTTAAATATTAAAGGTGAATCTCAAAAAAACAGAACAGACTTGCTCTTTACTACACCCCCTCCACCCTCCCAAGGGAAGACAGAAGGGGAATAACGAAGAGAGACTTAAACTTTGGAAATTCAAACTAGAAACAAACTTACTGTAACACAAGGTAAAAGAATAAAACGTGGGGGGAGAATAGGTAAGTATTTATATACAAAACTGACCTCGAGGATGGCAGTGATATGGGAAAGGCAGGGCTGCTCCAGGGGAGAGGTCCAGAGCTCCTCCCAGCACCCGATGCAGCTGGATTCCGGAGTGAACACTTGGAAAGCTACAAGAACCAGCAGCAGCCCCGGCAGTGAGAAAGGAGCAGGAAGGGGGAAGGAACTGGTTTCTGGCCCTCCTGGCTTTTATAGATTGTGCCAGGAAGTGGGCGGGAACACTGACCCTTCCAGTCCTTCAGGGGCCTAAGGACCCGCTCTATGGGTGTCCAGCACCGTGCTGGGGTCTCCCAAACCATAACATACGGTCTGCCATAATCTATTTTGATAAGTTAATCTTGTATTTTCTACCTCAGTTTTTGGGAACAGCTGACTGTTGCCATAAAGTTCTTAAGAACCATTAGGCAAGTAAGATGAATGCTTCTTAGCCTTTTTTCAAAGCAAAGAAGGCCAAAAATTAATTCAACCCACTTTTTGAAAAATAATGGAGCCGTACCACTCCACAGTGCCCTATGACCTACTCACAGCTGCAGAATTAATGAAAAAGTAATCAGCAATTATTCTTAATTAAACAAAACCAAACAACTAAATCCTTTCTACAGTATGAAATGCATTTTATGTGTTTTCAGGCAATATTGTTGACACATATATACACAGAGAAAATACTGCCACAACAAATACACATAAATACCTATACATTATTTACATTTTACAATATTTTACACAGCTCAAAATCAGTGTCATTTAGCTATACACATTTCAATCTGAAGTGTAAAATGCTTACAGGTTTTTAAGACACAAATTTCAATTAAAAAAGCTGTTTTCAATTCTTACTAATTCAATGGATTCAAGTTCTTCTGTAATTCAATGGATTCAGGTGTTAACTTTGTTCCATGCCAGCCATCAGTGATAAAGCTAAAGATTCCACTGCAAACCAAACCATAAAAAAGTAATTAGTACTTGTATTTGCAGCAGTCTGCAAATATTTATTGCAGTATTCAGTTCTGTAGCTTTAAAGGGAGATACCAGTTTATTTTTTAAATTGTAACACTTCACAATTTAAGATGGTAAGACATTTTATGGATCTCTCACAGTTTAGACTGTATTTCACAGCTTTCATAATCAGTTATCCATTAGTTATTTCAGGTGGTAAGAACTGGTAAGAAATTGTTTTGAGATTCTAACTGTTGTACTCAAAAAATAACTCTTGTGGGGGGTTATATGCAGCAAACCATTCTTACAGACAGTTCCTACAGACAAGCTCTTGCAGACTGAGTAGCTGTGATGCAAGATATTATCTCTTTCAGAAAGCCATCAGAACATGCATCTGCATCCCATCTGACCTCCATTCAGCAGGTGCTCCCCTACCTCAAACTAGCACCAATCAGCCATTTAAGCTAATAGCAGGCTGCAAGCAGAAGCACAGACATGTCATCTTTGGCTGTTTCTGCTACCGAGGAAGCAAATTCCAACAGACGGGCAGAGCCAAAAGCTCGGTGCAGCTGAAGCTAGAAGCACAATAATACTAAAACTGTATCTGTTCAAGATGTTTCACAGCTGTCACCCAACAACAAAAATAATGCTCTTCTATGCCCTCCAGAACTTAGTGTCATTTCTTTAGAAAACTGCTTGTCACAGTTTGAATCACATCAGCATTCCCTCATAGGGAAAGTGGGTAAAAAAAGCACTGCATGAATACTCTCAAGAAATAATGAAGTAAATTTGTTAAGAAATAAAGCTTCTTGTCCCTCTGGGAATACCTCCCAAAATGAGATGTACTGACAAACACTAAAACAGATGAAAATGTATATAAATGTGTAAGTGTAGGTTACGTGAAATGCCTCATGTACTTACAGTGAGGAAAAGAGCCTCGACAGACAGCTTTGTTGAGAACAGTTACAAGAAACATGTGACAGTTCTTAAAATCAGACTCCATCTTCTCTATGGATTCCATCCTATGAAACAGTTCAACAGAAGAATGCTTAACAGACTAGTCACTACATCATCAAAAGATGACCAAAACTTCACAGTAAATTACAAAAGTTCTCTTTGCACAGCATTCTGACTTGAACTTCAAATACTTCAGTTATACCCGAGTACACCACCTCTAGAAAACAAAGGCAATTTTGAAAGGAGCATCTGAGCACTATTACAAGGGTGTTAGTAATTTCCTCATAATCTCAGAAATCTCTCTAGTAACTAGGAAGAACTGTGTGGTTCCAGCTGACAACCATCGTTCCTATGTATTTCAGGACAGCCATTCCTCATCTGTATTGTTCCAGAGTTCCTTGGTGCAAACCTACACTGCCAGATAAAACAAGGATACCTACACTGCTTTACTATCAGCCAACCTTTGAATTCCAACTAACACTCACCAGGGATGGGAGATGTTGCTCACAATAGTCTCTCCTTTCCTTTTCCCCCCTCCCAGGAGGATACAGATGACACTTCAGCAGTTATGACTTATTCCTTCCACGCCCAAGACCATGTAAACACATGCCCTCAGTTTCATTCTTTAACAACAGACTTCACAAATTACTTCTAGCACTTCAAATTGGAAAAGCACTCCAAACATAGCAACTTCCTACTGTCAGAAGAGTGTAGGATCCAAGCTCTAGGTCTGTGCCAAAAATTATTAGTCCTGAAAAATATGGTTGTGAGCCAGCCCACACCACCTGGCCTCAGGGCCACAGTGTTAAGACACAGCCTTGGAGAGCTGCCCACAATCATTCACCCTTCAAGCAGCAGGTTACAAAAGCAAAAGTATAAAGTGTATATTGGGAGAGGAGTGGCTGGAGAGTAGCCCTGAAGAACAGGACCTAGGGGTGCTGGTCAGCAGCAGGCTCAATGTGAGCCAGCCATGTGCCCTGGCAGCCAAGAGGGCAAACCCCATCCTGGGGTGCATCACACACAGCACAATCAGCTGGCCAAAAGAGGTGGTTATCCTGCTGGATTCAGTGCTGGTGTGGCCTCATCTTGAGTGCTGGGTGCAGCTCTGGGCCCCACCATTTCAGAAGAATGTGGAGATACTTGAATGCATCCAGAGAAGGACAAGAAGGCTGTTGAATGGGCTGGAAGGAATGTCCTATGGGGAATGGTTAAGGACTTTGAGCTTGTCTAGTTTGTAGAAAAGGAAATGAAGACCTCACTGGTCTCTACACCTTCCCGAGGAGAGAACATGGAGAGGGAGGTGCTGGTCTCTTCTTCCTGGTATCCAGGGACAGGATATGTGGGGATGGCTCAAAGATGCATCAGTGCAGGTTCAGACTTGGTGTTAGGAAGCATTTCTGTACCAAGAAGGTGGTCCAACCTTGGAACAGACTTCTTACAGAGGTGCTCAATGTCCCAAGCCTGTCAGTGTTGAGGAGGGATTTGGACAATGCACTTAATAAAGTGCTTTAACTTTTGGTCAGCCCTGAAGTAGTCAGGCAGTTGGACCAGATCATTGTAGGTCCCTTCCAATTGAAATAGTCTGATCTATGGCTTAGAGAAGAACAGTTGATTCACAGATCAACACATTAATGGTATCTTGGAAATTACAGGTGGGTTTCTAACTTCAATCATTGCACATAAGGAAGCACACAGCTTTTCTAAAAATTCCAAATATGACACCCATTCCAGGTTGTTTCTACAGAAAAAGTACTAAGGAAAGGAGAGAATAACTTCAGAATTTGAGCATTTGAACTAGTGAAATCAAACATTTTCATTAATATCGTGACTCAGTGGCAGCACTTGCAATGACTTCAATAGCTTCACAGTTTTACCATAATTTTTTAGACACTACAGAGTAGAAAAATGAGGTTTAAATTAGATTTAGATTATTATTTTTTCTAAAAAAAACCCAAAAAATTGTCTTTCCTTCTAGAATGAAGGCCAAACTAAATAATCCCACGTTTCATAACCCAATGAATGAACGGCAGCATCAAGCTGCCTACAATTTTAAATAATATCCAGGAAACATGATCATAAACCAAACCTGTGAACACAGGCAAATATGAAAGAAAATACTCTTTGTTGCTATGCTCTACAATCTCTTCAAACACCTGAATATTATATATTGGCCATCTTTTTAATTAGAAAACACAGAACATACACTGTCACAATGCATGAAACTTGTTAAGTTCTATCTATATAATATTTCACTTATGCTGAGAAAAAGCAATTAGCCTCCAATATCTGCTATTACACATTAAGCAAAGTCCTGTCCTCACACAAAAAAAATCTCAAAATCTTATTTTGAGATGGGAAATGACAACCATGTAGGATTTGAGGTATTTATACTTACTTCCAAGCCCCCAAACCAGCCTGCCAACGGTCCGCAAACATCAGTACTAAATTTAACACTTTTACTATAGCTTCTTTCACAAAGCTGACCTAAAATAACAATTAAATCAAAAAGAACCAACAGTCAAATTCATTGTTATGCATGATCATTTTCATTACTAAGCCACAACACCAAGGCGTCCCATACCATTTAATGTGATCTGTAAAAACAATCTTCCAAATGTAAGATGTTTTTGTATTTGCTCTCTAATTCATTCCCCAGCTGTTTCAATGAGGACTAGGCACAGATAGTACGTGGGATATCATTACATTGCCAAGCCTCAGTTTGTTCAAATCCTCCCATCTCTTAGAAACAAAAAAGTCATGTAAAATCCAATACAAAGAATTTTATCTTTCTTCCTTGATAGAATTGTGCTGAGACTTGCAAGGGAAACTGGATCTCAAGGTTAACTCCAGAAAAGCTACAGTTTCCTCAAGAGTACCTACATATTGCTTAGTATGTATCAACTGCAATAGGCAGCATAATTAGTACTAAACTATTCTCTTGTCCTCCTAAACTTAACATATCAAATAATGCCCTTTTTTTACTTACCTTTTCTCTCAGTAGGCAACGATCATGGATTGTAGACAGATACCTGTAATGAATCTTTATCAATTGATCTAAATCTTTGGCTTCTTCTACCTGATGCTGAAACTCCAAGCCTGTACTGTGAAGAATCTTAAAGAGAAGACCATAGCTATTAAATTCTGTTTTGCACACAAAAGCTTACGACTCTCTTCCAATTTTACTTTTAATAGCCTAATTCACACACTCTTT